ACGCGGAACATTTTCGATATATATTATGTGAAAATCAATTTATTCATTTTTTTCCGTAATTTCCGTTCTCCTCAATTTTAAATTCGCATGAAAACATTTTAAAAATCACTCTGAAATATTTTCTTGCGAATTTATAAACGGAGAGTACTCAGGATGCAAGAAGTGAATGGACCATCCTGCACCTAACATTTCGTTGTTAAAACCGGATAGGAAAACAATCGAGGTTAACGACGGGATGATTGCCCTTAAAATAAGTAACAATTTTTGCGTAACGAGGCAAAACAAGTGGATAATTTATCCTGAGTCTGTTGACCCTGATGGGTCTCTAAGTCGTGGCATCTCTCTTTCTTTCTTTTTTTTTTCTAAGCTAACTTTCAATTTGCGGGTACGAAAGCGAGTACTGTGAATCTACATTCGCAGGATGGCGGTGCCATCTTTGAAATCCATTTTCACGGATAAATGAAAACTTGCTGAACTTACATCTCGTGCCACTTTGCATACATCTGAAAAGTTTCGTGGAAAATTAAAATTTTCCCGCTAGCTCGGCTACCGCCACGAAATTTCAATTGGCTTGTCAGAAACGCGAGTCCCGGCACCTGGATTTTAATTAATGTGGCAAATCAAGATCGCAGATAGATCCTTTAGATAGATTTTAAATTGTCCTACTGTTAGGTGATGTATAAGCGTATTATTATCCGTTATGAATTTCGTAGAAGATTTATGAAAACATTCCCGAAATTAATTGCTACATTAAATCGCGTATGACAGATATTATCGCCCGTGGAAATGATTCACACTCTGTCATTAATTATACAATAATTTGACGGTTTTCATAATAGCCAGGAAACGAAATAAAACGCAAGTTATTAAAATTCTCTTGGAATTCGCTTGAACTTGTTAGATGGAAGTTTAACGTTTCCCCAGTTTCAATTTCTGTCAGTCTTTAAGATACGAACACGAAACTTTAGTTCTTTTCAACCTCATTTCGCTGGAGATTCCCGATCCAAATTTATCTTTATCGCTATTGATGTATGTTTACAGAACACCCTATGCATATCATATCCCTATTTCAGGGAAAATAAACAAAAAACTGTTATGAATATAAATCCTCCCCACGGTTTTATGAACACTTCCGCTTCGAATTTCGTTTATTGCAGAATCGTTGTTGGCTGTCAACAACGGGGCAACAACGGCCCTGTATTGCGTTCGCAAAATCCGTTCGTAAACATATCTCATTCAATATGCGTGGAAAAACGCGACTTGTGTATCGGACGGGTACGGAATTTGGTAACATTCTTTTACGATTTCCATTATGTTGGGATTAAGTCCAGAGATTTATTCGCCTGTCTGATTCAGGATATATAAATATATATAAGAGTCCATAATAACATTGAAATCAACCTAAAACAAGGGGTAATTCGAAATATATATATGTATATATGTATAATTCAAAGTGAATTAACAAAATGACACATTATTGGTTTAATTAATTACACAGGAAACGAATCATTTGCCACAATGGATTTATATAATTAATGATTTCGCTCCGTCACTTCAAAAGTGACAGAAACAAAAAACATCATTTTCGAGTGATTAGTTATTATCATGAATGAATTAAGTAAATATTACCTTCTATCAATGAAAAGTGAACTAATTTAACTTTATAAAAAATCACAATTAAAAGAAGAGAGAGAGAGAGGGTAATTAAAAAAAATCGTCAAAATCGTCATAACTCAAAAAGAGTGATTTAAAAAAATGGTCACTGCAATTCAAAAGGAATGGTTTTTTTAATTATTTATGAAACAAAAATGACATATTTTTTGCTGATATTATTTTATTAATGACAGCAATAATTTGTCAAGTTGAAAGGAAAATAGTTTTTCCTTTTTTCTAAGAAATATTTCTTAATCTAATATCTAAGAAATTTTTCAAATTGTATCACTTTTGAAGCAAGGAAGCGATTTCTTTTCTAAATATTTCAAATAATTTTCAGAAACTAACATTTATCTGTTAGAACTAATATTTATCTGTTACTTAGAATTCATTCGGAGGGTAACGCGTGAAAAGAATAAATCCAGTGTTGGAACAGATACCGTTCGAAAGGTATCTAGATATAGATATAGGTATTGTGTGGGAAAAGTATTTCGATATAAGTATAGATACATTTTTTTACAATTACCTAGATATAGATACAGATATAAATAAAAAGTATCTGAAAATTTAGGTACTTTTTTTAGATACTTTCAACAAAAAAAAAAGAAAAAATGGGGGAAAAGAGGAAAAGTAGAAGTAATAAGCAACGTAAATTAAATATCACATTTTATTTGTTTATTTTAACAAAACAGACTATAACATTAAAATCGGTTTCATTAATAGTTTTAAATAAAAATCGAGTATTATTTAGTTTTACATGCATATGCATATCTACAAAATTGATAAATCATAAAATTAATTCTACTCGTTATCAATTTTTTACCCTTGATTACATAATTTTAATGAACAGCTTTAACCATAAGAATATCGGTCTTTAATTAGTATATCAGCGCATAGGTACTAGTACTAGATTGCTAATTTCTGATTGATTTAGTATGCTTTTCAACAAGCGACATAGATGACACGGTATGAGGTACAGTATACCATTACATCCTTGTTATTCGTCAATGTTAAACAAGGATGAGGTGATCACTGTGTTATACTGTGTAGGAAGACACTCTTAATGGTGGCGACAGTATTTGTGTATAAATACCTTGTATCTATGTATCTAAAACTTAAAAGATACCGTATCAAAAAATAACTAGATACGGATATAGGTATCTCCGCCTATAAGGATCTAGATAATGCATTTAGGTACAGCCAAAGTATCTAGATACTATATCTAGATACTTTTATCTATTATAGATACGTTCCAACACTGAATAAATCTATTATAAATTATAATACAATGATCATGAGCTTCGAGCTAATATAATATGTTTGTTACAAGACAGAAAGTTCAAATACTAAAACACATAATGATAATATTATATAAGTAAGTAACAATGTTGAACAAATTATACACAAAACGTTTCGACCCATCACGGGGTCATCTTCAAGTTGTTAAAATAAATTAATATCCGTAATATAATGTTTAATAATATATATAAAAAGAATAAATTATTTAAATTATACGTGTATGTAAAATCGGTAAACCACGTAACCACAGTAGTATTGAGCGAACTGTTCCAAAGTAGTCATGATTATTCCTATGTGCAATCGAGATAGAGGAGATACATCATGTTATTGTTATTATAATCTAAAGAAATTACGAAGAAGAATATTAGATATTAGTTTTATAAAAATTGTTTCAGATAAGTGTATCAATGACTACATTGATATCACTAAAATTATATTACATATATGTAAAATTAAAAGAATAACGGATAAAAAGTGATATATCTACCTCAGATCGATTGCGTACAATGATAAATTCAAATAGCATTATAGTTGTCATTTTTACAAAATGTATGTATTCGAAGATATCAAATCTGTTATAAGTGTCTGCGATTTCTATATGTAAAACAGCTCTTACATGATTGTAATAACATCTTTTTAATCGTTTAACTGAGTTATGATTATGTAAAATGATGTTGTTATATCTGTTCATGAAGTTAAGATGTGGCGGCGTCATTTGGTGGTTGAGACACGTTTTAATCGAATTTTAATATGTAAGGCCGTGTTGGATTTCAAAAGTTTAATTTTACATATATGTATTATAATATAATTTTAGTGACATCAATGTAGTCATTGATACACTTATCTGAAACAATTTTTAATAAAACTAAATAATATCTAATATTCTTCTTCGTAATTTCTTTAGATTATAATAACAATAACATGATGTATCTCCTCTATCTCGATTGCACATAGGAATAATCATGACTACTTTGGAACAGTTCGCTCAATACTACTATGGTTATGTGGTCTACCAATTTTACATACACGTATAATTTAAATAATTTAAATAATTTAAATAATTTGTCTCGGTAGTCTAAAGGCTTAGGACGCTCGCACGGAATGCAAGAGATCCGGGTTCGACTCCCGGCCGAGGCATTATTTTTCGCAATAAGTTTTATTACAATTTTTAAGTTGGGGAATTTGGGGGGATTATTAATATTTTCAGATTTGATTGCGTTGAAAGTCCGACAACCATATCGGCACGCAATTATCATTTCTGAAATTAATTCATTTAAATGAATTTACAATAGTTCAACATCTTAACGTTCTGACCGTTATGGCGCTTCTTAATTTAAAATTATTATGTTTAACATTAGCGGTCTTTCAATCTTATTATTGTTAAATAATTTATTCTTTTTATTCTTTTTATATATTATATTACGGAAATTAATTTACTTTAACAACTTGAAGATGACCCCGTGATGGGTCGAAACGTTTTGTGTATAATTTGTTCAACATTGTTACTTACTTATGTTATCATTATGTGTTTTAGTATTTGAACTTTTTATCTTGTAACAAACATATTATATTGGCTCGGAGCTCATGATCATTGTATTATAATTTGTTATTAATTGAGCCGTTTATATAACTTTACTTAAATCTATTATATTTGTGTGACACAACCCAGCGTGACATATCGAGGCGCAACGACCGATCAATTTCGTAACAACAAACTGCGTAGAAGACTTCGTGTCATTGTTCCCGAGACTTTTCCAGGGTTCGAACGACTTTGAGAAACACTGTTCCAAACAACGCCGTGTCCTGCTGCCCCAACTCACATAAAACGCTCCTCCCTCGTGGCAGCCCTTCTACGCAGTACGCAGCTTACGTAGGAACCCTCGGCTGCCCTCGGCGCCCTTGTTGGTGCGTTAGGCTCGTAGGGACGCATAACGTGGGTTCGCCGGTCGAGCGTATCGTAACGTCCGTAACGTAAGTCCGAGGGTGAAGAATGGCAGGCGCGCCGGTCGTGCTGTGACTGCGACGAGTCGCACAGTCGAGCGTGAGACTTGGTCGGAGTCAGCTGTAGCGTGGCCGCGTGGCGTGCTCTCTCTCTCTCTCTCTCTCCTCGTTTCTTCCGCGAGTTTATTTTGCCGATCGCGTCGTTGTGGAATCCTCGTCACGGAGAGGGGAAGGAATCAGGTGTAAAATCGCGATCTCTCGTCTTTTACCGAACCTACGCCTCGGCACGCTGCACGGCCGCGCGCATTTCCGAGAAAATCGCGAGGAAAAAGGCGCGAGGCAAGAGAGAGTTCGGTGAAGCCGCCGATCGAGGGCATTCGAGGGAGTCCCGTCGTCCCGATCCCACGAGCGGCGCTCGCAGTTGCACGCGAGACGCCGTCGAGGTAGTTTCATACTCGAGCGAGATAACGTTTTCACGAGAAGTCTTAGAGTGTTTACGTGGAAACTGATTTAATCGTCCCGTCAGTTTGACGATTATAACGTACGTTACGAAGCGGCAAGACGCTCGGTGACAGCAGCAATTTTAACCTATCCGAGAACGTCGGTACGTGCTGTGTGTACGTGTATATATGTTTACATTTTTGTGGTTATATTCTTCTTTCGTTCTGATTGGAGTTTATTTTATGGTGACGCGCCGTCTAGTGTCGATTTCGCGATTGCTCGATAATGGTTACGATCCGATTCACGCTCACAACGTTCACGAGCATTATTTGTTGCCTTTATTTGATAAATAACAAGGATGAAATGATTCATAAGCATTGTGAGCATGAATTGAACCGTGGCCGACTAAGTTGCCGAGAAAGACGCGAGAAAATTGCTTTTGTGCGCGCCAACGAATTCTCCATTTTGAAGTTCGACGCGGACGATCCTCCGTAAACTTCACTTGACTGACGGTCGATTGGCTAATGGAGAATTCTCCATTCTCATCGCCTCATAACGTTTCTAGTGTTTCTCTTATAATATAGATCAATCTTGGTGTAACTTACTTTTTATCTTCTTCTAGTTCTGAGAATTTGAAAAAGATAAAGTATAAATTAACTCGAGATTAAAATTAATTCACGTTGGCAGAAATGATGCCCATTTCTAGCACTGTAGACTAACCATAATCTTGGATTGATTTATTACCTTTTTTTCTAATTTTTAAAACTAAAGAGAGATGAAAATTAAGTTAAATCGAGATTAAAATTAATCTACATTGATAGAAATATAGAGACACTAGACCAGAGATTCGGCTCGAGAATACTGACAGTATTCTCGATCTTTTCGATCTCTTTTATTTATTTCTGTTTCATTTTCGATGAGTCGATCTTCCCGATCAATATAAAATAAATAAATATTAAGATGAGGCCAATACGAGAAATCGATCGGAAACGTGTCTCAATAGTTGGTCTTGAAAATAAACTTGGTGACGTATTTTTTAAAAAAAGTTTATCGGATACATACGTCACGGAATACATCAAACGTGCATAAGGATTTCGCAATCTGTTCGGAGAGTAACTACCGAATAGATCGATTTGCGATTATCGGCTTGGCCTGTCGCCAAATTCGCAATTCATATCCACGTGCGAGCGGTCGATTTCTAATCGTAAACTTTCGATTCGCGCCAGTGAATATCACGGGGAATCAATCGGCCGAGTTAACCGCCTGAAATTCGCGTCAGACTCGCTCGATTACGAAATTTCGCGAGGAACTTCTTCGAGTACTAACTTCTCGCTAACTTCATTTGAAAATTGCAGACGAAACCGGAGTTTTTCAATTCCTTTTCGGATTCGAACCGGTAAACTTAATTTTCTCGACTCTCTTTTAAAAACAAAATCTACTTCCTTTTTATCAAGGCCGAGAAAGAAAGAGTTTAAGAGAAGAATTTAGCGACGAATCAAAAAGGTGCTGAATCACCCTTAAAAAAAGAACCTATTATTAATAATTGTCGTCGTTTCTGTGAATGAATTGTCTGTAAAAACTGTTTTAAAGGGTGTTGCGAACTCGGCACGCGCGCGATAAAATAGTTAATTCCTTCGCTAATTTGTAGCAAGATTGAAATTGAAATTGTTGAATGTCGAAGCGAGCGGGAAAGTAGAAAGGACGCGCTCCGCCGGTTGAAAGACACTGGCCGAAACGAAACGCTTGCGGACCTCACCGCGTAAGGGGGAATGTCCTTTTTTTTACTACGCATCGCGTCTGTGCCCTTGAACAGGCTAAGGAAGAGGGAACTCGGTCGGCAGCGTGCGTTTATATATATACAGGAGGATTCACCGTTCGGCGACGTTCGTGGAAGCAGTGACGCAACTATCGCTCCTGTCCGGAGAAGAAGGAAAAGCCCGCGATGACGGTGTAACGGCGCGGTTTCAAGTCAAGCTTCACCTTGCTAACTTCACGTCTTCACCTCGCCTCTCGCCCTTTTCGTCCCGCCTCGTCCTTACCGACGCGTGTGTGCGCGCGCGATATGTTACGATGGTGTGCGTGAGATCGCGCGTGCGGATCGTTCGTGAACTCGGCGACAGCCTGTAGCTCGTCAGCGGCAAGCTGGTGGCGGTGGTACTCGCGCGCACGGGTGTAGAAGCCGGAAGAAAGAGATTCGTTTTCTTGACTATCTGGACTGACGATGCGATCCTTCGGGAAGTCGTCGTGGCGATGGGCCATCAGTGAAATGGGTGAGTACAGAAAGCATTATCGTACAAAGGCGACGTTCCCGGGAATCTTGGGTCGCGTCGCCATCATTTTTCGAAATGAACTTCGCATTGGACGAACTGCTGGCTAAAAGTTTGCATAGAAACTTTGTTGTCCAGATTTGGTGTAACGATATAACGTTTTTATTGTTGAATTCTGCGCGTTTTGTGAATAAGTCTTTTGGAAGCGTTTTAAATATAGACGTGAAAAGAATTATTTTGCAGAAATATCTAAAAGCTTAGTTAGATACAGATCTGAGAATAATTTTGTTAGACTATCTAAATACAATAATAATTGTATGTAGAGAACTCAATGATGCGCAATGCTATAATTTTGATATTCTAGCAACCAGCTTGAATAACAAACCAGTTTATATTCTATATAATAATTATTTTGATAGTTCAACAAAATTATTTTCAGATCTGTATTTATATAGTTAAATTTTTACTTCTGGTAAAATCATTCTTTCCATGTATATACATTGTAAAAAGTAATATGTTCTATTCTTGTCCCTTTGTTTTAAACACTTAAAGATGTTTTAGTTTTAAACTTTTTCAGTAGACAAAACACTACGTGTTTAGATTTAAAACGCATAGTGTTTTAAATCTAAATACGTAGTGTTTTGTCTACTGAAAAAGTTTAAAACTAAAACATCCTTAAGTGTTTAAAAAATGGAGACAAGAATAAAACATTTTAATATCTTAAAATTAAACACTTCTTTGCTAAAGAACTGAACTTGTTAATATTCTTATTCAAATGGGTTAAATTGTTACGTTGATAGGAATGTATAATGATATTTCGTTTTATAAAAAAAGGATTACTCTAAATTTGTATATAATATGAAGAATGGTGGAAAAAGAATTGGACGTAAATATCAAGAAATTAAACGATATAATAGAGAAAATGTGATTTAAGTAATCTTTAAATAGCAATTTTGTCACAGTCTTCTAATAACTGGAGATTGGAACGTTTAAAAATAATTGTATTAACGATTTATTGAAATTATTGAAAAATTGATAATTTCACGTTATTAAGAAATATAAAATGTATCTGTACTGTGGAAATAATATCAGAAAAATGCATAGTGTTTTAAATCCAAATACGTAGTGTTTTGTCTATTGAAAAAGTTTAAAACTAAAACATCCTTAAGTATTTAAAAAATGGAGACAAGAATAAAACATTTTAATATCTTAAAATTAAACACTTCTTTTTTCAATGTATGTATACGTATTATTTATTTATTATAACAAATAATTTACGAATGTAACATTTACTTGAAAAAAGATTTATGATTTATTTCATTTTGTGGTTTGAATTACATTTCTCAGTAAGTAAGGTTTAGATTAATAGTTAGAGTCTGCTTGAATATTTTTTTAAAAATAAACTTAGGATCTATGATCAATCCGATTTATATTGCTCATGAATACATAATAGCATTGTTTATATACATATGCATATGCACACCTGCTTTGCAGACGTACGTCATAAATAATAATAAACAGGCGGATATACAGGCATAAGTATGTACGATTTGAAAAGCAACAAATTCTATTTGTCATTACAAACTCCACGCATTTGTATGACAAGAAGTAAGAACTGTACAAATGTATGTTTGTCGCAACAAAATTTATAATTTATTTATGCATTATTAACTCACGTAGAGTGTTAAGACTTTCGCCGCGAAAAAGTAGAATTCTACACGGAGAGAATTTTGTTTTTAAATTTACCCTGAAAATATATATGGTAGTTTTGTGATGCAATACAATATTTTAAAGATTTTTACCACTTCAGTAAAATTAATCAAACTTATTTTATACTTTATTGTAGTTTTATTAATGAATGAGAGAGATTTACATTAAAATTCTTCAAAATACAATGTTGTCCTACGATTATCATATTTTCAGGGTAAACTCTAAGAAAAAATTCTCTCCGTGTAGAATTCATACATCTTCCGTATTTTACGCATTTGCAAGGCTGAACTAAAAGTCAACGAGTACTTAAATTCAGAAAGAGACTCTCGTCTCTCTCTCTCTCTCTCTCTCTCTCTTTCTCTCTCTTTAAAAGCGAATTGACGATAAAAGGAAAATGTGCGCCTTCGTATAAGAAAAATGGCACGTGTACAACGTGTACAATTCACATGTGATTAAATGAAAACCCGGGATCCGCTGTCTTCCACGTTGATAAATCGCATTTTCGGAATGAGAGCGGATCTCAAAAAGATGCTCCAAGACCACAGAACATTTCGCGATCGATGCACGGAGGACAATAAATAATACAATAGAAGAGCAACATGATATCCGGAAAATTGATTTTTTTGAGTTGTAGAGACAAAATGATAAAGCCGGAAGTACGTAATACTCTTTTCCTCGTGCTCTCTTCCGTCTCTTCAGGTAACACTCTCCTAATACCCTCAGCTGCGTGCTCCACTTCCGTACAGAATTTTTCAGCGACTTACTCTTCGCGACGTTTCATTAATAAGATAAAATGGAGCATCACGAAGATTCTTAACGTTCCTTGTACCTCCCTGTGCGCTGCTACATTCCGCGTTGCGGAGACAGGCGGTATCAAGGTAGATAATTTCAACAAATGGATTTCGCACGACGTCACTTTAATGACATGCTTCCGTTAATAATTTCGTTACGGAAACACGATTTTCGCTTCCCCGTACTGCGGAGATGATAAACACATTTAATTTCGATCCCACCATAAACTAGATGTTCTGACAGACATGCCGTGCCGGGTCTTTCTCATTCCGGAGGTACGAAATGCCTCGAATTGTTTCCACTGACGTAACGAGATTGCGTCAACCGTTGCGTACCTCGATCGCGAGCGCCAAGTCGATGAGAGCGCACGTAGATGACGTGCCCGCCGACTTGGGCCGAAGTTACGTTGTAATCTTCTTACACCGCGGAGAAATGTCGGAACTTGGACGCGTCGGTCGCGTCAATAAACCATTAGCACGAACGTAAACTAAAAGCCATACCCTACGGAAACTGCACGTCGCGGCTGTGCAAGCCGTTGAAAGCGCTTTTTCCCCAATCCTGAATTTCGCGTGTTCGTGAGGGGAAAAATTTGACTGTGTCTTGAGTTCGGAAACTGCTTCGATTATTTAGTTCTAGTACAATCGGTGAGTGATCGTATTTTGTCACAAAATGCAAGCTAACGTTATCCCTCAGGTGAATCATTAGAGATAAAATTTATTATCTGTTACACATGATCTGTTCATTATCTGCTTAAAATAATATCAGATTATGCCTAATTTGAGTTATTTTTAATCATTTCTGTTGGTCGCCACTGCTCTTCAAAAAACGTGAACTATTAGTACTAAAGTGTACTAATTTGACTCAAATTTAATTTAATATTCATCAAGTATGTTTATTTATGTTGAGACTAATCATAGAAATAAATTGATTTAGATTTTGACTTACATGGAAGTTAAAAATAACAAAATGTTATTTAATTTAAGGAATATTGGATTGTTATTGCTCCTTTGATACCAAACAGTGAGTAGATAAAATTAAGTTTTTATATCTGTTCTTTAATTGTTACCGCACGAAAACGTGAAATCAATTGATCGAAACATAAACTTATAACCGACCGGTCACTCTACTCTTTCCAAACTCGGCGATATTAATTTTGTATAAAATAAATTGATTTAGCTTATATACATAAATAGAATTAATGATTTAATATTAATAATTGCCTTTACCCTTAAAATGTACTCTCTGGACTATACATATATTTTAAATTTAAGTTCAGCAAAGTACGAGTAAGTTTTAGTAAAGAGTATAAGTTAACGAGAATACTATGTAGAATTTTACGAGGAAAGATTTCATCAAAAGCAACATTCTTAAAATGAGTTTAAATTGGCTTTACTATTCGTTCCTTTCATCCGTCATCTTAAGTAGTTCAATAATTAAGTCGTAAATTACTCGATGTTCTCTATAGTCGATTCTAATAAAATTATTTCAGGAAATCCGAAAGTTAATTGAAGAATCATTTACGGCCGGAATGTTAGTCCAGAATTTTTGTTATCTTTTCATAAACGTAAAATGATGAACATTTCCAGTTTTGGAAATGTAAAACAGATGAAACGTCGCCGTTAAAGAATTCATGATTCATGATGATCGAAGAAGTATGAAAATTGTACTTATTTTGTTATTTATTTCTTTAAATAATATATTTACTACATAAATTCATTTAAACAGATATAAAATGTATTGATTAAAAAAAAGATATCCAGTACATATTGAAAGAAAACTTTCAATATGACAAAGTAAACTACCGTAATAAAGCAAAATTGCGCGAGATTTTCAGTTTTATTTAATTTTCACATTTCCATACACATGCATGCGTTCAACCGTAACTAACTTGTACATCACGTGTAATCACAGAAGTGAAAGAAATAGAAATTTTCACGCCAATAAGACATGAGTACGTGTAATTATCGCGTGAAATCTTTATCAATTCTCGACAAATAGTAGAGATACCAGGTATACTTCCATGATATATTTCCAGCTATAATTCAAATATTATGTAAGTACGGTCTAATATTGTTTTTCTCTAAGATCTTTACTGTATTCATACTTTCATCACGAATTTATTTTTTGCTCTCAATTATAAACTTCAATTACTCGAAGAAAATGATGATAATATTTTAACGAGAAGAACTAATTTTACAGGTTATATATTTGTCAACATTTAATTATTATTTGATCGTTGAAAATACTTATTTATATATTTCTATATATATTTGTAAGTATATATGTACATTCAACCATAAACGTCTATATATCTACTGCCATTTTCAGAAAATGGTTAAAAGATTGTGATAGACTGGTGTCGCAAAATTGGTTATTTCAGTTGTTTGCCATAGAGAAAATTGAAAAAGTTACGCTCCGAGGCGGTGCAGCCATAAAATCGCACACGTTAAACGGAAATCGTGTGTGTTCACGACAATTCCTTTTCGCGAGCGAACGAATGT